GTGAAGAGTACTTGAAATTCAACGAACAAGTGAACAAACAATATCTGGCCAAAGAACATGCGTGCCCAAAGTATTTGCTTTCCTTGAAGCCCAGGAGAAAAGTCCGGTTCGTGCCTACAGAGAAGTCCCACCACCAGAATGCAATTTGAGTAATGAGTTTCCTTCTTATTTAGTCAACAATTATCATCCTGAAGGTAATTTTTGGTTTAAACAAATTAGAAAGTGTTGAAAACGATGTGTGAAAAAGCAGGTATCCCGGGAAAGAAGACTAACCATTCTGCTAAAAAGACAACCATTCAATCCCATCGACTAAGCATAAACCACTATGCTGTGAATTTATTCGAAGAACAACTTACAGATAATGTTGTACATACACAATCACCATGAGCCAAGAATTCACCCACAAAATCACAAATAGTGATGTCACATGACCACAGTGCCTTGACTAAATATGCCACCACATGTCTGTTCAGTGGAGAAAACACTAAACGGTTTGACTATAAATGTAAGCATCAAAAAGTCTCATCACCAGTCATGAATCTTGGAGTTGCCGTGATTTTTGTAGTCTTGTATGTTTTACTTTTACTTTTTATGTTCCTGGGTCATGTTTCAGCTTCACACCACGGCATTTAGAACATGAACATACCAAACCCCAGTGTAGACCACATGTTTGCATTCCTGGTGTTTTTATATCAGAGCCCTGTATTCTAATTTATTCGTGAGGGGGCGAGTGCAATGAAAATAATAAGATCAATATTGAACACTTTTCAAACTGACGATTCATTGGTCTGATTCGAATAACAAAATTTGTTACCCTCACATTAAACTGGTCATGTGATAAAATAGCATAAAATCTGCAATCTTACCTAGAGTGCTTCCATCCAATCCCATGATGCATTGCATAGATGTTATTATCTGCTGTGCAATAGGAGCAGACATTGAGGAAGCATACGTTGCACTATGTGAGCGGGACTTTAAAAGGTCTATCAGTGCCTTGAGAAAAAATATAAATTTTACATATTTAATTGGAGTAACAAACATAAATTTATTTCATTGGCCACCCATATTGGCAATCCACTCTGCTAGAATTGTTCTTATAATCACTTCTGTGTGCATTTGTCTTATCGACTTTGTGACTACTTCCATTTAACTTTACACCAACCAAGTGATGACAAGCCTACCCAAGTGACAATCCGTACTATTTTTCATAATTTATAATTACTATTTTGTTTTTGAGTTTGTCCCACCATTACCATGGCAACACCCAAAAAAACGTTTGCTTTTCTTGTGTGGAGTGGATCACCAATCGGCCTACCAGTTTGTTTAATGTGTACCATTGATTTCCCATGGAAATGCATCACAACACTTCCCTTCCCTTTATAATTTACAATGGATATGTACCAGAGCATGAGCCGCTGTGATTGATTTTTGTCGAGCGTGAATACAGGTTTATAGTGGGAATTCTGCCAAGGCATAATAGTGAGGCGACTGCCAGATAACATGAACCTTAGCTGGCAAAGATGTTTTAAACCGTACTCATTACCTTTGTTCCTGCAATGTAACCTCCGGCAGCACCAAAACTCTTAGTGAATGTACCCATCATGACATCAATGTCATGAGGATCCATCCCATAATAGTCGACAACACCTCGTCCATTCGGACCCAAAGCTCCTATACTGTGAGCTTCATCTAAGTAAAGATAAGCCTTGTACTTCTTCTTGAGTCTCACTAACTCTGGCAAATTCACGATAGAACCTTCCATACTTGAAACAAAAATGAAAAACAGTGATTGACATGTGAACGAGATTTGTTGGTGGAATACCGTATAATAATAATAATAATAATAACTTTATTGCATACTTAGAAATACAATGTTTCTATCAGTTAATAGCAATAAAGATTACTTGTGATAACTACTACCGGTACTACAAAAAGAAAGTTAGTTGTTAATGGGATAAAGCAAGTGTTACATATCAAATGGCATTTTCATTTCTTGATTGAAATGCGTTATGAATATAGTTGCCAATCTTTTTTTTATTATTACATCATATTTTGAATCAAGAAATTAAATTTCTGGAGATCATCTTGTGTTTCTTCTGGAAATGTAATGTCTTGTATGATTTGTTGGCGTATTAATTTATATTGAAAGCATATAAAAAAGTGCAGTTCATCTTCTATTTCATTTTGTATACATTGTTTGCAAATTCTGTTTTCAGTACCGGTAGGTATCTATGTCATGAAATTGCAGCAATGGAATTATCAATGTGGCTGTGTAACTTTGTTAAAAGCAGACCATGCAGAGATTCCTCTGAATCAACACAGGCCGATGAACAACTGATGAAGGAGCATACTGACAACAATCCGATGTACGATAGTGCAAATGTAGAAACTCTGCAACCATCAAACCATTCAAACTCAAATGAAAATAACGCCATTTTTGATTTTTTAAAACTTATACGGTATATTCTTTGTGGATGGTGGTCGTCGTGCCATGCATGTAGGACATTTGTGATGATAAACCTTTATTTTCCCTGGGCGCAACATGCACTAACTACCACTGGTGATTCAAAACCCAAGGAAATTTCATAGATTAGTAACGTCTGTTTGTATTTGTTGGTCTGTGCAACAGTCAAAGTCAACATCTTCTTTTTTAATTGTTTTTCGTGCCAGTTCCGGACATTAAATGTCACTGTTGTCTCTCCTGGCTTTTTTTTTTTGTATGTGCAAATTGCAATTACTAGTGCTGACACATTTTTGACACAGAAGTTCATGTTTGGGACTACATGATAGGGCTGTGCGGCCATCTTCCTATCAAATGGCAATTCAATGCGCTATCCTGGCGTCAACCAGGCTCGGTCGAACACAAGAACCTGTGGACTTTATCAAAGGTTTCCCCAAAGTCGCATTGGTTAGTGAATGAATCTTGGCCAGTGGAATTGGCCTTCCCATTGAGTCTGTGGCACACTCACCCAGGATTGGGGTCAACTCTTTTGATGTTCAGCCTAAGGTAGAATTTGAACTTGGGTCTACCGATCATGAGTCTGATGCGACAACCACTATGCTATCTCGTGCATGCATGGTGTGACGACCACCACCTTTTAAAACACGTGCAATTTGAATGAATGATGATTTTACATAATATTCATATAAAATTAGTAAACCGTCTTAGTTGCATCGATATTCAAATTAGTGAACCATATTCATCAGGTACATGTAATTAGGTATTTTCTTAATTTCTAAAAGCTTCTTCTTGAATAATATGTTTACCGTGAAGGTTTACTAATTTGCATATGAATAATGGATGTTACAGAACAATAGTGAACATGAAATCAATACCTGTATATGCCTTCAACAACAATAAGTATTTTCTTCCACTGTCTGTGACTTCGTGGCTGACCACGGATGATCGCATCTCGCAATCTAGCCTCCAAACTCTTCATATCTGTGAATAATAGAAAATAAAAATATGGTTTGAACAAATATATAATGTCAAATGTTTGATGTGACGTAAAATACATTTGAACGTGCATCCTGCAATATTTGGAAGAACTGGTGGTAACTACCAAAGGTAAAGAGACACGATATCCGATGAAAATAACGCTTGACATGAGACAAACACACAATTATGGAATACTATCGTAACTAAATGAGAGTGATTCAGTTATAGGGTGTTTTTTCAATAAGTGATTTTCTGTTCGCTACGAGATATTGCAAAATGCGTCTGCCCCAAAATGATTAGATTTTGAATTT